ACCATATACAGACAGACTATTAGTTGCTGGCGATTTTAATATGCCATCTTTTCGAAAATAACAAAACAACACAAACCAAAATATTGAAATTAAATTAAGATATAAATTCAACAAAATTTAAAACTTGCGCATACCATTCTTACACAACTATTTGATTCTGTAGAATACACACTGCTACGGCTACCGATCTGCAAATACAGATTTTTTTTATTTTGTTATACTTTATATTATGAAAAAAATATTACACACACTGGAGCTTTTTTCAGTTTTTACAAAACTTGCGGGATTATTAATGTATTGTTATGATCCCCCACAAAAACGGGTTTAATTCAGGTTCTGAAAATAAAGTAAAGATCTTATGGATGATGCTGGATTATGGCTCTGGAAAAGTCCTATTTAAAAAATATACAATCTGATTATATATACTTAAGCTAAAATACACTGTCATATATATTTTTTTAATATTCTAAAGCAAATGTACGCCCATTAACTATATTTCTTAATTATTCCACGTAAAAACTGTTTTATGTTCGGCCGGGTCTCTATACTAAATTATATTTAGCTTTTCAAGGAAAACTTCAGGAAAACAAAGGAAAAACTTCAATGCCCATATTTTTATTATAGAGCCCCTAACTAAAGAAATGTTAACAAGGCTACCAACAACTCTCAAAAAAATCGATGTTTCAATTAAAAATGAAGGTGATGGCAGTGTAGGTACAATTGAAGACATCTCTTCCAAACAATCTTGTTATTACACAAAGCACGTCCATTAGATGCTATGAAAGGAAGGTACAATTTCCAAAAATTAAGTTGGCTGATATTAAATCGGAGTGCACGTGCAGTTGTCACGAGATAGCAAACTTGATGAAATGTTATATATATATATATATATATATATATAATATAATTTATATAATATATAAATAGGAATACATCTTAAAATAAAACTATACTATGAAATACATATTAAATTGCGTCTACATCGCGTAATTCTCAAATCATTTGATGTGCATGCAGTCTCCAGGAAGTGCCGAAGTTTATCTTCTACCATATACAGACAGACTATTAGTTGCTGGCGATTTTAATATGCCATCTTTTCGAAAATAACAAAACAACACAAACCAAAATATTGAAATTAAATTAAGATATAAATTCAACAAAATTTAAAACTTGCGCATACCATTCTTACACAACTATTTGATTCTGTAGAATACACACTGCTACGGCTACCGATCTGCAAATATAGATTTTTTTTATTTTTTTATACTTTATATTATGAAAAAAATATTACACACACTGGAGCTTTTTTCAGTTTTTACAAAACTTGCGGGATTATTAATGTATTGTTATGATCCCCCACAAAAACGGGTTTAATTCAGGTTCTGAAAATAAAGTAAAGATCTTATGGATGATGCTGGATTATGGCTCTGGAAAAGTCCTATTTAAAAAATATACAATCTGATTATATATACTTAAGCTAAAATACACTGTCATATATATTTTTTTAATATTCTAAAGCAAATGTACGCCCATTAACTATATTTCTTAATTATTCCACGGAAGACATCTCTTCCAAACAATCTTGTTATTACACAAAGCACGTCCATTAGATGCTATGAAAGGAAGGTACAATTTCCAAAAATTAAGTTGGCTGATATTAAATCGGAGTGCACGTGCAGTTGTCACGAGATAGCAAACTTGATGAAATGTTGGCAAATTTTAAGAGAATTCAGGAGGATAATTTTTCTTTGCGTGGAGAATTAGCGTTCCCAAATGCATGCAGAGAGGGAGAGAAGCCACAGCGATAGCACAATTCAACAGCTTCAAAAGACGGAAATGAAGCTAATGCACCAAATTGAGGAGTTAACCAATTCCCTAAATTCAGTGCATGAAAATGCCATATATTTGAAGGATGTGGAAGATAAAAAAGCGATTTAATTTTCCAAAATGATTTGTTCAAAAAGCACAAGCTACACTTCAATGCAAAAAACATTGCTCAAAATGTACACATTACATCTCGGAAGTGCTACATCTTTTTGAGAAAAGATTTGAAATTTAATCTTCCACATCCCTCATAACTGCTGAACTGGCGTTTCATCAAACGGGTGGAAATGGGAATTGACTCCTCAATTATGAAAAATTTGAAGAATGTGGTGGCAAAATTTTCTAAGAGAGAGCGGCAAGTTATACTAGCATTTGATGAGATGGAGCTTCGAAAAGAATTGGAGTACAACAAAGCCGATGACATAGTGGATGGGTACGAGGATGGGAGGCGAACATCAAAAATTGTATCAAAGGCGTTGGTATTCCTTATAAAAGGCTTCTGCAGCAATTGGAAATATATCTCCAACTTTTATGCTCTTAACAAATCAGCAAGTGGAGATCAATTAAAAAGAATTGACATGCTGCAGAATATAGGTTTGGAAGTCCGGGCAATTGTGTGCGACCAAGGCACTGGAAACCAAAAGCTGAATTCCCTCCTCAACACAACCGATGACTCGTATTTCAATTACAATAACAAGAAGATTGTGTTCTTATGGGATTATGCCCACCTTTCCAAGTCATTGAGAAACAATCTATTTTGTAATAGATTCAAGGTGGAGGGAAAAGTAATACGCAAGGACCCCATCGAAACCGTATACCAACACGACAAAGAAAAGTTCAATGTCAAGCTATGTCCCAAATTGACGGAAAGACATATTAATTTATCCAACTGGGACAAGATGAATGTGGCAAGGGCAATATACATCTTCAGAACACCCTAGCATGTGCCATTTAAACCCTCATTGCAAATAGAAACCTTTCTCCAGAAGCAAAATCCACCAGTGACTTCCTCCGTTCCGTCAACATCATTTTTGATGAACTTAATATTAACAATGTTTCCTCTCCCAATCCCCACAATCAACCTATCCTAAGAGGATGCTGCAAAAAAATAGAACATCTCAATAATGCCATAACATTATTAATTTCTATTGAACACAGCGCCGAAATCAAGTGCGCCCGGGGAATGAGTAAAACAATTACTGGCTTCTTAGTCCTGGCGGAAGAAGTATTCAAGGAGTGTGAAGATGTGGAATAAATTCTTCGGGGGAAACTGAACCAGGAAGCTCTTGAAAATTTGTTCTCTAAATTTAGAGCTCAAGGGAACAATACACACCCTTCAGTGCGAGAAATTCGATGCCATATCGCGAAATATACCTCGCAGAAAATATTGAGCGGCGCTCGTGCCAGCGCCGTTAAAAATTGTGAGAACGACGACGAGGAGTTCGTGCAATGGAATCTGTCCACTGAAAAACATCTAAATGTCAAAATTGAAAGTGCCGAAGACGAGTGTGCCAACATTATTTCATTTCTAGATCAAATCGATTCAATATAAACCAATGCAATAGAAATTCAGGCTGAGCGATATGTTGTTGAGTTTTCAATTTTGAAAACAATAATCATCAAAACTAAATGCAACAAATGTACAGCATACCTAACAAAAGCGACAATTGGAAACAGGGCATCGGTATATTTCCTGAAATTAATGCAGGATGCAAAATTGACTATTGTCTCTCAGTGACGGATGCTATTAAGCAAGTCGAATCATCTATGTGGAATGAGTTCACGGATATATATAAAGAAATCTCCTGATCCAAAGGCATTTGGATCTATCAATTTTTCCAGAACCACCAAAACAACCTTGGTTCAAATCTGTGTGAAGTCTGCAATACTATTGAAGATGAGAAACATATTATTATTCATTGTAAAAAATATGAAATCCAAAGGAAGCAGTTTGCAATCTTCCACACGTTCAGCAACCTACAAGAGCTCTTAATGTCCAGAAACCAGCAACACATTGATGAACTTTAATTTTTATATCAAAATGTAAAATTGATCTCTAATTTTTATTTCACTTTCAATAATTTTGTTTATATTCAGTTTCATTTTTTTTTTTCATTTGTTTTCCTATACTCTTTCTGGTTACACAGTTTACTTTACTGACACACAGCCGGCAAGTGAAATTTAATTTTTAATTTTTGCAATTTATATAAGAAAATATATAAAAAATAAATAAAATATTAAAAAAAATATTTAAAATGCAAACACTTTTGACTTTTATTTTCTTTCTTTTGTATTTTGATTCGCAAATTTGGCAAAGAAAAATTTGCTAATGGAAAAGCAAACGAAAATTTCAAAAGAGAAAACAAAAAATTTGCCAAATAAAAATCTGCCTGTGGAAAAGCAGACTAAGTAAGCATCAAAAGAAAATGTAAATAAATGAGTAGTTATACATCAAGTAACCCATAACCGATCCTGGTGAATGAACATCATATGTTCTCCCACCAACATACTTGACAACGTATCGAAGTACAAAAAATAACAAATTATAAAAAAAATAATATTTATTCTGAAAATGAAATATTTTCGAATCCTCAAAATAAAATTCGAAAAACACTAATGAAAATCGATAAAATTTATATTTCTATCGCCTCCACATCTTTCCTATAATTGAGCCATTGCTACTTATATATGTAACACATATGAAAATGCAGGGAATTGCGAGTTATTCCATGAAGAAAGATTTGCTTCCTTTAACTTTCCCAGCAGGCAAATTGAGTAAATTTGAGTACAGGAGCACACTTAATAAAGAACAATTTCAAAATGTATGCGTTCCCTATTTTCCTGTTGGGTGATTTTTAAAAACATAATTTGTCAAATTCATATTGACACTAGTATTACGTTGCTAATTACCAACATTTTTCATGTAGTTGTTTTTTTTTTTTTTTTTGGATTCCATGATTTGAAAAATGTTTTTAAAATTTAATTTTTATTACTGATATTTCTTAGTGTTATTGCAGTGTTGCCACCTCGCACAAATATTTTTGTACGTGTTTTGAAATTTCCCATCACTAGAACTTTTGCAGCTGTTAGATGTTCTTACTTGGAATCCACATTGAAACATTCGTAGACAGTCCAACGCGTGCCGCCGTCTCATCCACTTGTACGTGGGAAGTTTCAACGTTATTTTTGCGAATTTAATAAAATAGCATGGCCAATATTTGTGTAAAAACTCTTTTGCCGGCTAATCGTATATTGGGGGCTACAACCTCAACCATCTGCAGCCAACGTTCAAAGTAAGTGTAATACTCCATAAATTGTGTAGGGTGTAGGTGCTGGTTAACTTGGTCAAAACACGATGACACCAAATGCTCGATGAGTGGAATGAATATCATCCATAATGATGAAATTGAATTGTCGTTTCGTTATTGTGTGTGGCATTGGATAAATTTGTCTTTTGTTTTTGCCAGGCAAAGGCAAAGTAATGTTCTAATGAGATGAATTTCCATTAGCTACATGGTTTCGCATACATACATACAAATCTAGAACAAAAATATTCAATTTGACATTGTTTTGTTGTGAGTGAGTGAGTGGAGGAAGGTGTATGTTTTCCTCCACGAACCGACACAATATTTATAACCCAATGGGCTGTGTTCTTCGGTCATTCATTGCAAGGTCATTCAAAGTGCAAAAAGATGGGGAACTTGGCCAGCGGATGCATAGACATCAGTATGGAATAAAAGTGCTAACATTGCACAAAATATTGAGTAGACGTATGTTTTTTATTTTCCCAGTTCAGTCAAACTGTTGTAGAACATTCTATTTTAGAAATCTCTGTGTATTTTTATCTTTTGAGGGAAGGGGTGGCAAGTAGATGACTCCATTATGTGTATAGAAAGGTTACTGTTAAGAGCAGAAAAGCTTCCCAAGGTAAATAATTCTACTACTATTTCCTTGCAAAATTTATAGTATAAAACTATACAAAGCTAAAATTATACACCACACAACAATCCATCCAGTATATCATGGGAGAGCAGTTTATCATACAACGTGTTTTTTTACAATTGTTGCATGGGAATGAGAAACATAAGCAGCGGAAACCAATGTCGCACAACTTCTCGTACATCATTGCCCCCCTGCCGTAATAACTAACATATTCAGTCACCTGTCTGACACGGAATGTTTCATTGAAAGAAAACTAAATTGATCGCAGAGAAGGAAATTAAATAGGGTAAGTGGTACTAGTGTCGACACGTACCAGTAGTCGGTATCTTTTGTATATATATTCAAATAACTGAAAATACAAAAATTAAATTGCTCAAGTTGAGTACAAAATAATTAAAAAATAGATTATAGCATCGAAAAATGCTATCGAAATAATATTAAAACTGAAAATATGCTAATCCTTAAAGTGCAGACTACTGGTATATTTACCCTAGTAACAGTTATCTTACAATCGAATGATTGCCAATTGGAAGCAAAAGGTTACAACTCATCCCAATAACCGCAATACTGTCAATAAAGTAATTGTTTTCCCATTTTAAAGTTAGAAACGGTAACATTTTCTTCACAGTATAATTCAGTGGTGTCTAGCGCTTTACGTTTTCATGAAAACAAACCACATGAATTGCCTCTTAATTTAGATTTGCCGTTGTTTGGCATAGGCGGGGGTGTATTTTAACTACAACAATGTGAGTAACATAAGCATCTCTGAAATAACTCCAAATTTCCAGCATGTTCATATGTGTTACACATGTAACTGGCTATAGCTCAATTATAATAATGATGTGGAAGCGTTAGATTTATTTTGAGGATTCAAAAATATGGCATTTTATAATTTTGATAACTTGTTGATCTGTTGCCCTACTACAAGAATTTACAAAAGTTTACTATTTTCTTCGATATCATACATGGTACAATTATAAAAGGTAACAGCAAATCCCAGCTGATTTGATTCCAACGTAATACTAGTGTCAATATGAATTTGACAAATTATGTTTTTAAAAAACACCCAACGGGAAAATTGGGAACGCATACAATTTGAAATTGTTCTTCATTAAATATGCTCCCGTATTCAATTTACTCAATCTGCCTGCTGGGAAAGTTTGAGGAACCTAACCTTTATTCATTGAATAATTCGCAATTCCCTGCATTTTCATATGTGTTACACATATAAGTGGCAATAGCTCAATTATAGGAAGGATGTGGAAGCGACAGAAATATAAATTTGATAGATTTTCATTAATGTTTTTCAAATTTTATTTTGAGGATTCGAAAATATTTCATTTTCAAAATAAATATAATTTATTTGTTTGTTTACATTTTTCTGTCAAATGATGTTGACACTAGCAGCACGTTTACATTTAACCGGATTTCGTTAACCCAGTGGGTTTCAATTGTCATTTCCTTTGCATATATGTCAAATAAATCCTCATAAAGTAGGTTATCCCGGTAAAAAGTTCTAATGTACAAGGAGTTTAGTATAACTTTTTCGATTAAATGGCGTTGACGATAGTAGCTGTGTCTGATTACTTTTCCAGTAACATTTACTTCAGAGTGTAAGCCCTTCCAATTCTCTTTTGCAATAATAGTGAGAAAAGTAAACAGACAACATCCAGTAAGATTTTGCAAAATATCACGTAATTTCATTAAAATTGCTTGAATTGTTATTTTTAGACTTATTAGTCTGGGTTTATACATGCAACTTTTTTAAGCAACTCTGCTGCTGCTAGGGAGAATGCAAAGCTGTGTATAATGGTTCAGTGTCTTAGGCATCTAACGAACTGTAGATGTCAATTACTATGAAGCTTTGAACATCTGCAAACACCACGATAGTGGGGTCTACCATCCGATACGACGCACGTCTCACTGTCAACGATTGTCATCTCTGTTCTATGTGTAGAAACAGTAAAAGAGTTACAACACCAATTATCATGCCTATGAAGTGTCCTGTAATGTTTTCTCAATGTGATTTCTTTAGTCAAGATGTTGCAAACTCTCCACGTTTCATTTGCCACCCTACAACAAGTTTTTTTAATCTATACCTTTTAAAAACTGACTATGTAGTAGCATAAGGAAGATCATATTGAATCATACAACCCAAATCTAGCATAAATTTCACCAGTAAATTGATTGTCTGTAGACCTCTGTGCCATTTGAATTTCCCCAGTATTTCGTTTAAAAAATAATTCTGGCGCGAATGTTTTTTTTTTTGTATCAATTGGTAAACTTTCACTGCCTGTTTTTCCTAGCAATAGTGAACATTCAATTATATTTACCTTTAAAACATAATTTTTAATAAACGTTTTTAAAAAAATTTTAAACGTTTTTACTACCCACCGTCTAAAGGCGGGCTTGCCGACTACAGTATTGAGGTACTTCCATATTAGATGGTTTTTACAGATTAAAAAATTCTGAAAAAAATAACAGAAAATGGAAGAAAACAACTTGGAAAAAAATCTTCTATTTTAATGTATGAATGGGAACATAATTGAAAGAGAGTAGTTTTAGACCTATGTATATTTTAGATTGGATGTACATCGGACAATATAAATACTGAATGAACTAGAAATATGACTCACTGTCCAATAGATGTTGGTATAAGATTATATTGCATATCTTTAGCGCTTCGGAGACGGCTTGTTGATGCAAAGATTTCCTCGAGGTTACTATTGCCTTGAATGCCTATACTATATTCTATATGCTCATAATAATTTGCATAGAAGTTACTTTGCATTTAGTAAATAATTAAAAAATAATACAATATGCCTTCTCTGAGCATTGCCATCACCACATATTTCAATAGTTGTAGATTTAAAATCTGGTGGTACATCAAGCGGTCTCTTAGCACCGAGAGTCGAGATATTTAGCTTCGCAAGTATGTATTTCGTTAATTAACAATAGCCATAGTCCAGGTTAAATTCTGTTGGCGGTATTCCTTTTAACACACCACATTTGATTATTAGTTACGACTTCATTTGGACACATTTCTTAAGATTTAATAATAGAACGAATATCTCTATTTGATAAATGCACTCTCTCTCAGTTTGTTTGTGTTTGCATTAATTATCGTACTTGTGTAAGCTTTTCAGCCTCTATTTTGTTAACAAATTATTGTTTCAATTGTTATGTAAATTATAATAGAGACCACGTTTTTAATCGTGACGCGATTACTTCCTACTTCAATCGATTACAAAGTGATAGTGGATTATATAAATATATAGTAATTTTCATAAGATAAATATATAATAATATACTTAGATATATATTTCTTCCATATCTTATGAAATTAAACATTTTCATACATAAACCGATAAGATTTATATACCAAGGCTATTCACTGGTTTACACTAGATTTGCTATTTTATATTGTTTTTCTAAAACCGGTAATATTGAAATGCACTTGTCACGCGGTCTTATCAAAATTTCCAACAATACATAATTATATATTTGTAGTTTCGTAGTCACCCTAAGCTCTAGTAACCAATATTCATGCCATTATTACATTAAGTAAACAAATATATTTCATTGTCTAAGATGTTGATAGAGCGAAAAATTTGTTGTTTTTTTATTTTTTTTTTTTTCAAAAACTGAATGATACAAATATTGTATACGTCACAGAATATTGTTGTTATAATTACTTTTTAATATATTATTGAACCATGTTGACAACAACGTATTTTTTATTTGCTATCAGTTTTAATGGTCGTGAACGTACGTTTACTGTTATCATTTGACCGGTATTTTGTCGCAAATGCAATTTTTTTAAAAACATGTTTATAATTATTTGTTTATAGCAATAAATTATTTATAATATAACAAATTATATATATTTTTCATAGCAATTCTTTGAAGGATCTGCAAATTAAGAACTCATGGTCAATGATCTGAGATTTTAGACATTTTACCAAAATTTATACATTTTGTATAATCTTGCATCTCAAAACCAAAAACGTTTTGTGCCTATTGCTATCTTCAAACCCATTTCTTACAAAATCCGAAGTTAGCCAAAAGTTATTGCGCACGATTATGCTCCAATACCACCAGTCAAAAACATAGACAAATTTCTTATCATCCATGCTATGATTTGAATAAAATACAAAATATTGTGAAATTCATATAACAAATATATGTATGTATATGGATATTGTATAAATTATGATATTAATCATGGTATTGATGAATATATAATATATTTTTCTTAAAGGCTGTATCACAGGTTTGTAATGGAAACTAAAACCAGTTTTGGTTCTTATGATGACACTACTAACAGAAGTTACGATTATTGAAATGTAGCAGCTAAACGTTAACAGCTGAGAAGACTATGGGTAATGAGGGCATATGTTTTTTTGTCTTATTTTGCAAGTGTTGTGAGAATATATGTTAAAAATATTAAGTCGGCAATACTGATAAAATTGTTTAACTAACAATAACATATAGATAAAAATAATAACTCTTTAAAATGACTGAGGTTTTTTATTATTACTTTTTATCGTACAAATATAGGTACTTCTATGGCTTTTATTTTCTCAATATATCTTTGATTTATTTTGTTTTTAATTAATTTTTCATATATAAGAATTTAGGACAAATAACCATGCGCGATCTCATTGAATATAAGATGACAGTTTAACTTTGAAAATTATGTTTAGTTTGAACAGAATCTATACCATTTCGTGAAGCCATTTCATTAGTAAGCATCTATCTTCTCAGATCTTTTAAATATTACCACACCATATAATTCATGCTGATATTACAATGGAGTAAATATGTTTATTGTTGTTTTAAGAGGTATTTAAATCATTGCTTTTATTTATTGCCTTTGGATTTTTGGTCAACTGAGAACTAAAGTGTAGACATATAGGGACGATGTTTTTGTTCGATAAAATCCTACCAAACGGTTCCGACTCTATGCAAGGAACTCTGGCACAAATGTTATATTGTGGCCTCGAAATAGGGCAAATCCTCTGAATACAAAATCATACCTCAAAATTTCCTCCATGAAATGAGAATGGTGTGGCTTTGAGTACTTCCGCTGGACGTGAAAGAGGAACTTCGAGTAGAGCATGTAAAGAGAGAGGAAATGGACATGTAAATTTCATGTTCTTTTACTTGAACTTCGATTAGATTAATGTAACCATTCCAAGTGAATATACCGCCATTAGTGGAAGACATTTTGAGCCCGAAATTATATAAATCAATAAATTTACAGATGGCTTACATACTCTAAATATGAAATTTTAGGATCCATCATTATAGATTTCGATTCATTGGCAACTCTTCAGACAATCAAGTCCGTTGTCGCATCAGAACAATATACGATATTATAATGTTAGTTTTTCTTGGGGTCCTGTTTATTGCAATATCAAAGGGAATGTCGACCCGCGTGTGGGGACACTGTTCACCATATCCGTTGATCTCTCATCCTTTCATCTAACCTTACTATTAATACACTTAATAGCTATTAGTGTTTGTATATTGTAGACCATAATTTTTATGCTTGAAAATATAAAATACCGATGACCTACAAAGCAGTATAAACATTTCGTATATTTATTTACTTATCTTAAAAAAATCATCTAAATAACTGATTTGTTATAGCTAACCTCCTTTGGACAAATGTTCAAATTTCAATTCTAATCAAAAATAATAAAACAATATTAGTTTGAGTCAGATTAACTGACAATATCATTTAAATTCAAAGGGTACTATCTAAAAATAAATTTATTTTGTTGAACTGACCATTGATAATGACATACAGTCAAACTTCTCTATAGCGAATGATTATTTATAAATAACAAGAGCAAATTAATTTCTATATGAAGAAGTAAGCTGCCCTATTATAGGGAATAATAATTAATATATAGGAAATTATAATGTATAATTAAATTCTAAAATTAATATACTGAATATTTTCAAATAATTGCAGATCATGGTTCGACGGTGTGAAAATGGGTCCACCCGATGCCATTTTGGGCATTACAGAGGCATTCAAAAGAGACACAAATCCTAAACGTATTAATTTGGGTGTGGGTGCCTACAGAGATGATAATGGCAATCCCTGGGTGTTGCCTAGTGTTATTAAGGTAAGCCGTAACAAACAACATCAATGGACCCAAAAACATTAATTGATGGTCTCCCCTATAATTTTCAGGCTGAACAACGTGTCATTGAGAAAAAATTGAACAAGGAATACGCCACAATTTTAGGTATCCCTGAATTCTACAACAAAGCCATCGAATTGGCCTTGGGCAACGATTCACAAGTTTTACACGAGAAACGTAATTCAACCGCACAGGGCATAAGTGGTACTGGAAGTTTACGTATTGGTTCGGCTTTTTTGAGTAAATTCTGGGATGGCAATCGCGAGGTGTATGTACCTAATCCAACATGGGGCAATCATGTACCAATCTTTGAACATGCCGGTTTGCCCATTAAGAAATATCGTTACTATGATCCCAATACATGTGGTTTGGACTTCAAGGGATGTTTGGATGACATTAGTGTAAGTCGTTTAAGATGCTTTTTTAAGATTACTTTTCTGTAGTTATTTAGAATATTCCATTTTGTAGAAAATTCCAGCCAGATCAATTATTCTGTTGCACGCCTGTGCCCACAATCCAACTGGTGTTGACCCCACCAAAGAACAATGGTTGGAACTTTCGAAGTTGATTAAGGAGAAGAATTTGTATCCATTCTTCGACATGGCTTACCAAGGATTTGCATCTGGTGATATTGATCGTGATGCCCAAGCTATACGCATTTTCGAATCAGAGGGACACCAATACTGTTTGTCTCAAAGTTTTGCCAAGAATATGGGTCTGTATGGTGAACGTGCTGGCGCGTTCACTGTTGCCTGCGCCAATAAAGAGGAGGCTGATCGTGTTACATCACAAATTAAAATTTTGATTCGTGCCCTTTACTCAAATCCACCAATCCATGGTGCCCGTTTGGTTGCGGAAATTTTAAATGATGCTCAATTACGCAGCGAATGGCTGAAGGATGTCAAAGTTATGGCTGATCGTATTATCGATGTTCGCTCCAAGCTAAAGGACAACTTGATTAAGAACGGCTCAAAGCACTCTTGGGATCACGTTACCAATCAAATTGGTATGTTCTGTTACACTGGCATGAAACCCGAACAGGTTGATTGTTTGGCCAAAGAATATAGCATTTACTTGACTAGAGATGGTCGCATTTCAATGGCTGGTGTTACCACGAAAAATGTCGAATATTTAGCCAAGGCCATGCACGAAGTCACTAAATAAGGTGTTATTCCAGCAATTACAATGAAATGCAATATACTTTATTGTAAGAAAAAAAAAAAGAAAAAACAAATATTTAATTTTAAGACTAAAATGCACTTATTTTTCTATAAGAGAATTTGCACCGAACGAAACCTGTAATCAACAAAACAAAAAATTATTGTTATCTATTAAAACGCTGAATAAATATATATTTTTTGTAGTTTAAAATCATACAAATTGAATGTCTCGGAGGACCTATGGAGGAGTACAGTAATAAAATAATTGAAGTTTTGGTTGGTTTAAGTTGTAGATGCGAGTAGAAGGTTTCGGAATGTTCGCGATAGGTGGTTTAAGATGTTCAGCCTGGATATTCCATAGGGAGATATATCGATTGTGAAAAAATTTCACTTTCACATTCTAGCCTTATTCTGAATACTTGTGTTCCTTTTTATTTAATTTTGACATGTTATCTCCCCAAATTCTTAAAGTGGCCAATTATTTTATGATATGCTCCTTCTCCTTTACTTCGTCCCTCAAATCAATCACACGATAAATTTGAAAGAGAAAATATTTTTTTGTAGCTTTATTATTGTTCTTTCATAATTTTTTTTTTAATTTTTCACTGTCAAGTGGCGCATCAGGCAAATTTGGGTTTTCCATAATTATTATTTTTTCTGGAGAGACAGATCCTCACACAAAATGTTTTTAATTCGCCTCCAAATTGCATCAAACTCGGTTTAAATATTCCTTATTGCCTTTATGCATTCCATGACAATATTTGGTTGAGCATGCATCGTTATCAAGAGGATTTCCAATGGCATTTTCTTAGTTGTTTTGTAGTTAAAAATATGCATACAACCACTTTTAATATTCGAAATCGTCATAGAATAAGTATTGTGTAGATATTTTTTATAAAAAATGTTCGCACAAAATATCATCACATTCTCCCATTCGCTGTAATAATAAAGTGAGGGCCACCTTAAGTGCATATCGTAGCATAGAATAATGTGATTCTCCAGGACCATTAATAAATTTGAAATTTGTCACTATCGTAATACAATTGTTGAAAATAATACAGATACATCATAGTTAAGGCCAACATCAATTTATTTTCTTCTATAGGAATAATACGGCATAATCAAAGTTAAATAAATTGTTTTTAGGTATTTACATTGGGATTTTTTCTTCTTCATCTTCAGCATAAGAAAATCGTTTATCGTTTTCATTCAGAAATAAAAATGTTATCAAGCTTTTACTTCGTAAAGCTTTAAGAGTACGTTTTTTTTATTATATGTTCATATTTCTCTCAATTTTTTCTATAATCCTAAATATTGCAAACATATGAATCTTAGCTATATTCTAAAAAAAATCTGTGTTAACTGAAAAAATACACGAAATAAAAAAGCTAAATATTTTAGTCGGTAATATAATTTGTTTTTTGTTGTTTTTACACATTTAGAACCTAAAATCACGGTTTGTTATAACGATATCTTAATTTATCAGATGGTTCACAATATTCCTTAATTATTAATTTACATAAGAATATATGAAATACTATTATTATTGCACATACAGATACCCAAAATAGTGTGGGTAAACCACCTAGTTGATGACCATGTTTATGCAGGGATATTATGTGTTGTTCATGTGCGGGAGCTAAATTTATTAAACGGAAATATAAGAAACAATTAAATTAAATGTGAAAGAGAGTAACATTTGCACTATTACCTTCCACAACCTCTTTAACATGTATAGCTTGATGAAGTTCGACTATATGCTGTTTGTCTTCGGTTATATACAGGATGGCAGTCAATGGTTCTGTTAGCTTAACAGGAAATTGTCGTCGGTTTTGACTGAAATATTTAAGAAACCAAATGATGAACTGTGAAACTTATAAAAAATAAAATATAATTAACTTACGTTAATAAAACCGGCTCATCCATACAGCCACCATCACAAGCATAATATGAACGATCTGATCTATCTAATGCCACATTTATGACAGCCTTATTGTCTTCGGTAACATTAATTGTCACATTAACATGTGTACGATTGCCATAATTCAAGCGACGAAAATGGAAATCTCTGTGCAAATATTTGGGGTGCATATTGCACTCTAAATGTTGATTACTGAATCGGAAACTTCCGAAGCTTAGTACCATTGCTTGAATTACACCAGAAGAACCAGCCCGAATTAGGTTGTGACAGCCCTGTTTTTCGAGCGTTAACATCCACGAAGAGACAACTTTGTTCAGTTTTTCCAATGAATCCATTGGTAGCCACAGATTATCAGCTTGTAAGGTATGATAGGAATCATAGCAACCCTCAGCATATGTTAAAGCCTTGGCAATATCCTGTTTGGATGGTGCAGATACTGAAATGTATTCCTCAAATTCATAACTACGAGTTTGTGATAAGACAGCGTACATTGTGGCATTGATACGATCACCATTTAAACTATTTTCCGCTTTCGAAGTACTGATCGTAAAACCTGTAGCCCACAAGTCAGACCAAACGTTAATGTGGGCCTGTCGGAAATTGTGCAGAGCCGTAGCGGCAGATTCGGTTTTTGATTGCAAACTCTGTAGTACTTTATTCATGGCTAAGGTAGCTTTTTGACCCGTCTCTGCAATAGTTGTCCTCATTTGTTCTTCGTTGTCTCTCTTCAATGGCTTTGAATAATGTACAGCTATTGGTATTTCTATTTTAATACTACCGCGTTTCTTTAATTGTATACTTCTAGAGACTTTTGGTATTACAATGGCAACCACGATAATCAAGGATGTATCCTCTGAATCTGGATTTAGAGTACCCGTAATAATTTGAAATTCCTTTGTTGATTCCGTGGAACCTAGTGGTATGGTACGAGTGTAGGGTGACTGAAAATGTACTCGTGGTAATATAAGTTCAACCTCTTCCATAGTATTGCGTGTATTTGTAATTTTAATTTCTTGCATAAGAATACTTGGATGCGTTCGGTGAGCATAATATGAATATGATACAAACATATTGGAGAAACATTGAAATCTGAAAGTAAGAAAAATATATAGAATTAAAAGATGGGAATGGGAATATTGGTATATTCCTTTTATGAGGCTTTCCAAAAACTATATGGCATTTATAAAAAAAAATATTATTCCGTCCTACGCGTACTTAGCGGTTAAAGTGTTGTAGCAGTAAAATGCTTTCTGGAAATAAATGCTCTAACGAAGCATGAATGACAAATAAAAATAATGAGATTTTTTCCATTATGTAGCTTCGTTTATAACTCAATACCCATCTTTACACCGCAATGAAATTAGTAAATAATCAATTAACCGTCTACATGATTAATAGGAAATTCACATCTTACTGAAAGATGATGCCTACCCTTCGGTGTCAATAACATAAATAAATATTTAAGAGAAACTCTCTTCAATATTTGTACTCGCAATAAGAATGTTCCAAATGCATTAGTATCAAGAATGTCTCTTGTTATTTGTAAATCGGGACGCGGAACTATTTCAACTTACCTCCAAACAATACCCGAAAGATATTCCACAACGGTTGCTTCTCTACCCGATTCGGCTGTCTGCAAAACCGAAACAATCGGATGAAACTGAGTTGGCAGTTGCATAGCTCGTCCATATTTAATATTTAAAGGGGCATCATGTGCCACCTCCAAGCCTATATAACCATTGCCCACATATGGTATAATGTTGCGTTCCTCCTCGAATGGTGGCACATGCCTTATATTGGCATCAAACTCGAAATTTTGTAAGAAAAATGGAGTCAAACGATCGTCCATGCACTGCATTAAGGGATCTAAAAGATTGCATGTGTTAGCCGATGCAGTTTCTGTTAGGAGCATGATTTCAACAACATACCTTTGTTTTCCGGTGCCCTTCCAAGGAATAGATAACGAAAAATGGGCGGCAATAAGTAAAAGACAATACAAACACATAGTAAAACCACAAAAAGCCGGCGATATGACGAAAAGTTTACAAAATCTATTTTGTATTTAGCGGTGCGAAACATATTGCTCGACATTATTTATAATCAATTATTTGTATCTTTGGCTCTACCACTGTTTATTTCAGCAACTTCACTCATAAAATCATTGTTTATCGCGTTTTTTATGATTAAAACAAATCTCTAACATATGACTGTGACAACAGGATTGCTTTTAGTTCTAACAGCGATAGATGACATATTTGACAGAATTTTAGTACTCTTAGTATTCGTTCACACTATGTTATACAAATTATTTTATGTGTTGAATTGAATTGGACCTATTTCCTTGTTATAAAAACGACGATTTGATGCAAAATCAGTCATTTTAAAATCTTATTGAGAACAGAGAATATATTTTATTCATCGGGCTAATAGAGAGAGATTTAGTGTGAAAATAGAAAAATTTTCCATAAATAACGGGTTTTATGAAAAACATAGACTTCGAAGTGGCCACATAATTGAAACATTGTGTAATTGTTTGTGCCCTTTTCCTAATTTCTTCTATTGGATTTCTTCTGTGTGCGATTGGAATAAATGTTGTGTTTACCTGTCAGTTACGGTAGCGTATATGGCCGAGCATGCCTGGAATAAATGTTCCTGTCCGATCTAGTAGATACTATCAACTGTTATATGTAGACTTCCACCGCACGAATTACTCTATGGGAGATCTTCTTAGTAAAATGTGTATTGACTTTAACTCTGTATACTCTAATGTAGATTTTTGCTTGAGCGTGGAACAAATAAAATCTAATAATTGGTATGTTCCAGTACTTTTTGAATGGTAAAGCTAGTAAAATGGAAACATTTCAAAATCGTTCTCAGAGTACAAAATAATTTGAAAAGTTCGGGAACGCAAATCTAGTAAATATGCCAAAATTGGATGACAATATTTCAAAATATACATAACAGCCAATCAGGAGTTGGCATTCCTGTTTACCATTTTTACTCGGACAATTTTTTCGAGTAAAAAGTTTACAAAGAGAACGCCATTTTGATTTTTGTTCTCTTAAATTTAGTTCAATGTTTTACCAGTTTTGGGGGTTCAGGAACGGTTTTCGAGTAAAAACTTGCAAAACTTGTAAAATTAGTAGATTCTTTTAGGTTCTGGAACGGAACTATTATTGAATTTTTAAATGAGTAGTAAAACTTAATAACAAACTGGCTATTGAAGTAGATTCTGTAGCTGGTTTTTCTATTCCACTCTCAAATCCCATCATGATACGGATCATGGTGTGTACGCGATCCCTACGTAAGGGGAGGTCGCCCCCTCGGTCGGCAGGGGTGGGAAAGAGTGGCGTGGAAACGTCGAAAAAAAATTGCCTCTGGACTTTGCTTTATTGCATTTTTTACCATTTTTTTAAAAAGAGCTCCTTAACTCTTTGAACCCCGATTTTTCCGCAATCTTAGAAAAAATTTCTGTTCACAGATTTAATGCAACTATCCTAAATAGGATATGCTCAAAATTTGACATCGCTACATCTTTGCATTCGGGAGATACAGTTCATTCTTTCGGAAAAATTAAAGTCCAATATCAAGAAAAACAAATGCAAAATCGACAGAAAAATCATATTAAATTATTCTCTATATTAATTTTTACAAGAATCAAAAATAATTTTGATGGCAAAATTCATATAATTTGAATAGGAAGCGATTTAAATAATTTCGACTGTATACACAAATTAGTACTGTACACAAATTTACCTTCTACCCTATATTGAAAAGCTCATAAATTTACCAACATTTTGATTTTTCTTTTGGTATGTGTCGTCCATAGTCAGGTCTTGACATATGATAGCCAAATAATATATATCTACTAGCTGTATATTAAATATAAGCTCTAAAACATTTTGTTGCCTGTGGGCAAAATTGGACCACAAAGGGTTAAGGGTTGTACCAGAAATTGCTAGAATTAGTGGGAATTAACCCGAAGGAACGATCCGATTTCGAATGCCCTTTTTGTAGAAGGAAGGAATATTTTTGCAGTAAGTGAGGAATTCAATTTACGATTTATAATAGCATTTATTATATCAAATCGATCGTTTGTTTAGTACAGAATATATTAAAAAAATCAGTCACAACAGAATGAACAGAACAGAGGTAAACGCCTATGTTGACCAGTAAAAGTTTTTAGGGCATTGCAGCATTTTTGATCAACATTTTACGTCACCATATCCTTGCATTCCGAAGATGCATTCTTGTTGAAAAAATCTAATATCAAGAACAGCAATGCATTGAAAAGAATTTTTTTAAATTATTCTTTGGTATCATTTTTACAAAAAGCAATTCGATTTTAATCATTTGTATTGTATACACAAGTTATAACTGCACACATTTATGCGCTTGAGTAATAATCTATATATATATATATAAGTGGGTGATTTCTACTTGAATTCGTTATGCAGTGTTGCCAACCATTTGAAATATTATATGGAAAAATTTGACAGATAATCGAGACAAAAACAAAGGTTGTTGTTGTGATACATCACTTTATTATTACATCAAGGGCTAAGCAGAATGCTCGCGTTGAGCCATCCGTTGTTGTTGTTGTTGTAGCAACAGAATACATGTTGTTTTGTCATGCATCGTCTGGTTCTGCATCCTCTACCTCCAAATTCAGGAAAGCTGCAACTTCAGCGGGCTGCGCCCAAAGAGAATTTGGCGATAGGTGAGTAGGCTTAGCTGTTGAAGAGGTGCAACGTGTCGTGTGGTCCTAAAACATGTGTTAGGTATCGAACCGTCAATTCTTGCCCAATATGAATTGAGACGGTTGCACCATCCTGATCTTAGTTGAGCTAAGACTACTCGTGTTTGCCTTGGCAGCTGCGACGGATGGCTGGACGCGAGCATTCTGCTTAGCCCTTCATGGCTGCGTATTAAGGACTAAGCAGAATACTCGCGTTGAGCCATCCGTCGCATTATATGTTATCGAATATCCAACAACCACAAGGAAACGATAACACAAACGCATATCGTTTCCTTGTGGAAACGACGGATGGCTCAACGCGAGCATTGTGCTTAGCCCTTTAGATATTAGCTCTAAAACATTTTGTTGTCTATTGTAAACATTTTGCCGTAAGGAGTTAAAATCATTTACTATGAAATTGTAAATCGTGTATCTTCTTTATTGCTGATGAATATTATATAAACACTTGTTCATCTTTGCTCTTTTTAAAATAGAAAATTCAGCTTATAAAGACAGTGTGTTGTGTGGCCAGAGCACCTAACAATTTCAATTAAATAGAAACAGCTGTTTAATGTTTACCTTCGATGAAGCAAAGCCGGCATTTGTAAACGTTTGGTGTGCTTAGATCGTGTGTGCTGCGCTCATCTTGAATTTAGTTTATTTAATTTAATATATAGTAAAACCATAATATAGTGCTATTGTATTGATCGAGATGTCCAATGACAAGCGTACGGTTTATGTCGGTTCGTTGGCGGATGAAGTCAATGAAAAACTGTTAAACGATGCCTTCATACCATTTGGAGACATTGCTGATATACAGATGCCCGTCGACTATGAGACACAAAAACACAGAGGGTTTGCATTTATCGAATATGAATCGCCGGAAGATGCAGCTGCCGCAATAGACAATATGGTATGTTTAATATAATGTTTTCAATAATGAATCAATATAAAACGCCTTCCTTTTACTTAGAATGATGCGGAGCTGTGTGGACGAACAATACGTGTGAACTTAGCTAAACCTGTTCGCATTAAAGAAGGCAGTTTCAAACCCGTTTGGGCGGACGATGATTGGCTTCAGAAACATGCCGGAGCGACTTTGGCAGAAAAGAATGAAGTTGAGGGCGGAGGTAGTGAACCACAATCGACAGAGGAAGCACAAACACCGTCAACAGGTCCCGCTGTAATCGAGAAAAGTGAAAAACGGAATCCACAAGTTTATTTCGATATACGAATAGGGGGCAATGATGTGGGCCGTATTGTAATGTTACTAAGAGCGGACGTAGTTCCTAAAACAGCTGAAAATTTCCGTGCACTTTGTACACATGAACATGGATTTGGTTATAAAGGAAGTTCTTTCCATCGTGTTATACCAGAATTTGTAAGAATATCAAAAAATACGTTGTTTCAAATAAGCACATATGTAGATAATTGAATATATTTCAGATGTGTCAAGGTGGAGATTTCACCAACAATAATGGTACTGGTGGTAAATCAATATATGGCAAGAAGTTTGCTGATGAGAATTTCACTTTGAAGCATAATGGATTCGGAACGTTATCTATGGCTAATTCTGGACCAAATACAAATGGATCGCAATTCTTTATATGCACAACAAAGTAAGTTTAAACAAACTCATAACATTAAAATTTGCCATGCTTAGAAACCTATTCTAAGCTAAATTTGTATTTCAATTAATTTCTAACATATTTATTTTTATCATTTCCAGAACCGATTGGTTAGACAATAAACATGTTGTATTTGGTCATGTAATTAGTGGAGCGGATGTTGTCCGGAAAATTGAACGTGTCGGTTCAAAAACTGGAGCAACAACGAGCAAAGTTGTTATATATGCATGTGGAGAATTGAAATGACTGCTATTAACAAATAAAAACCAAAACATGTTCAGGGACAAATTGTACATTATTTTTATCACTCTATATTCTATTTTTTATTTAAAAATATGATTAAAGTAAAATAAAATGTAAGGTAATCTAACTTTAAAGATTTAGTATTCAAAAAAATGCTATCTGTAATTGTTCCGTTAAATCACCATTTAGCGAATCAAACCGAATAATGTCATAAACAAATGAGCGTTTACTGTAAAGTCTTGATTATGACCACATATTTTTGTACATTAGGTGTGTCTGTTTAATCGATATTTTGTAACAATTGCTACCAAATGTTACGGGATGTTGTCTGTTTACTCCAAAATCCAGTAAAAGAGGACGAAAAGAGAAATCTGGTTTGACAGTTCTATCCTGAGAGCTTACTGAATGTTACTGGGTAAGATTTATCCAGCACAATATTCGATGGATTTCAATAGGCTGTTAAATTAAAATTTTTGACCAAAGTCAAAAAACATTTTTTTATTTTATGAACAGACGATTACTGAATGTTGTCTGTTTACTTTTTTTCAAAAGAGAATAAGAACGGCTTACTCTCTGAAATAGAACTTATTGCGTAAATGTTACTTGAAAAGTAACCAAGCACAGATATTCACTCACTATCAGCCTTATTCTGGATGTCAATTCCACGTGAATTTACTCGCTCTTCCCCTTCGTCTTATTCTGAACAACATTTTTGTGTGAATTTTTTCGCATTCTCGCTTTCGCCTTATTCTGAATGAAGTTCGAAAGTGAAAAAATCCGCTTTGGGGAAAAATTATGTATTCTGGATTACAGGGAGTAGGAGAATGAGATGAAATTTTGTGCGAATTTTTTCGCTAATAAATTCAAAGTGAGTTGACAACAAAAACATAAGTAATAAATATTTTTATGAAAAATATTAACACAATACTTATTCTATGACGATTTAGAATATTATAAATGATAGTAAGCAAATATTTATCTGGAAAACAGCAAATAAAATGCCTTTGGAAATCCTATTGATAATGATTCATGCTGAACCAAATATTGCCAAGGAATGTATAAAGGTAATAACCTTTATTTATGTTTATAAATGTTTTCTGATTCCAAACAAAAATAAATGACATATTTTTCAAAACCAAGGAGTTTGGTCGTAAGTCACTCGAATTCGTTCGTTTGGAATTTTACAAAAACAGGCTGTTAAGTCGAGTTTGATGTATTTTGGAGGCGAAAAACAGACATTTTGGGTGAAGATCTGTCAGCCTTATTCTGGATGTCAATTCCATGTGAATTTACTCGCTCTTTCCCTTCGCCTTATTCTGAACAACATTTCCCTGTGAATTTTTTCGCATTCTCGCTTTCGCCTTATTCTGAATGAAGTTCGAAAGCGAAAAAATCCGCTTTGGGGAAAAATTAGGTATTCTGAATTACAGGGAGTAGGAAATTTTGTGCGAAATTTTTCGCTAATAAATTTAAAGGGAGTTGACTACAAAAACATACCTAATAACTATTTGTATGAAAAATATTTACACAATACTTATTCTATGACGATTTAGAATATTATAAATGATAATAAGCACATTTTTAACTGGAAAACAACCAATAAAATGCCATTGGAAATCCTATTGATAACGATGCATGCTGAACCAAGTATTGCCAAGAAATGTATGAAGGTAATAAGGAATATTTAAGTCGAGTTTGATTTTTGGAGGTGAAATACAGACATTTTGGGTGAGGATCTGTCTCTCAAGAAAAAAATTTTAAAAATTATGGAAAACCCAAATTTGCCTTATGAGCCGCTTAACAGTGAAAAACTTAAATAAAAATTATGAAAGAACAAAAAATTTTTTTTTTCAAAAGCAAATCATAACATAACAGGCCACTTTAAGAATTTGGGGAGATAAAATATCGGAATTAAATAAAAAGGCACACAATTATGTAGTGAAATAATAAACTGTGAATTAATTAATTAAATCGTTGTGTTTTTGCCATCATAAAAAATGTTCTTTTATTTGTAATCTATTGTAGTTGTTGCACCAAATTGCATCAAAACAATGAACAGCTGTTTCACATGCCATATTGTAGGTTGCCATATTTTCAAACTTTAATTTATTTTCTTTTAATTACAAAGCATTTATACAGCGGATTCTTGATATTTCACATTTGTATTGCTATATAGTTTAAATAGCAGTAAAAAGTAACAATTTTTAATAACAAAAATCAATAAATAATATATTGAAAAATGTTACACAATTAAATTACAATGGGGCAACACACATTGCAACTTAATTTACGATATGGCAACACGAATCTTTTTTTCAACCACCATTTTCGAAAACTCGAATCCGCATCTCGCATTTTTTGCATCTCCCTATTCATTCAGAATAAGGCGAGAATGTGAAAGCGAAAATTTTTTATATGCGAGATATCTCCCTAGCAAATATCCAGAATAAGGCTGTGTATCTCAAGAAAAAAATTATAGAAAAACAAAATTTGCCTAATGAGCCGCTTAACAGTGAAAAACTTAAATAAAAATTATGAAAAAAAAATATTTTTTTTTCAAAATTATCGTTTGCATTATTTGAAGGGAGAAATAAAGGAGTAGAAGCATAACAGGCCACTTTAAGAATTTGGAGAGATAAAATATCGAAATTAAATAAAAAGGCACAGAATTATGTGCCTGTGTTTTTCCCATCATAAAAAAATGTTCTTTTATTTGTAATCTATTGTAGTTGTTGTACCAAAATGCATCAAAACAATGAACAGCATTTTCACATGTCATATTGTAGGTTGCCATATTTTCAAACTTTAATTAATTTTCTTTTAATTACAAAGCATTTATAAAGCGGATTCTTGATATTTCACATTTATATTGTTATAAAGTTTAAACCACAATAACAAGTAACAATTTTTAATAAAATAATCAATAAATAAAATATTGAAAAATATTACACAATTAAATTACAATGGGGCAACACACATTACAACTTAAATTACAATATGGCAACACACATTACAACTTATATTATAATATGGCAACACGAATCTTTTTTTCAACCACCATTTTCGAAAACTCGAATCCGCATCTCGCATTTTTTGCGTCTCCCTATTCATTCAGAATAAGGCGAGAATGTAAAAGCGAAAATTTTTGTATGTGCGAGATATCTCCCAGCGAATATCCAGAATAAGGCTGTATATTAAATCCACTCGATCTCAAACTTCTCGTTAAACCTGTTAATTTTATGCTTAATAAATGAAAAACGTACAAGAATTGAAGAGACTTTAAAATCCAAGGAAGCTCGCCATTGGCAGTATTTAGAGTTGTTTGTAATCATTGCCCAATAATAACGTCGTCCGATAAGGTCATATGATTTTACCCGAGCTGTCAAAATTTTTTCAATTTTGACTTAATCGCATGGAAAAGTAAACAAAAAATTTGACAGTTTGGAGGATTTTAAACAAAACTTGCCGATAATATTCACCTCTTACACGACCTGTTTATTGGACAATGTGTGTAATTAGGTTCGTTCGTTTACTTTCCCAGTAATATTTACTCAGTAAGAATTTGCAGAGAGTAAATACGAATTTTTCCTTTTCAAGAGAGAAAACTGCAAAAAGTAAACGAACAACATCCAGTAAAAATATTGTTTCGACACAGCTGATTAAAACAACAAACAAATTGGCGCAAACTAAAAAACAGCATTTTTATTAGAAAAAATGGATAACAAGCGGAAAATTGATGTTGTTTGTTTCCCACAAACATTTAAAAGGGTTGTGACCTGTTATTCCTGTATCTGCAATTGATATGGGGGTGGACTTAACCGATGGTGTTCCAGACATGTTAGGGATGCACACTTTTTTGTTTGGATTTGGAACCTAAAAAATCGTTCGCCAATTACTCTTGTATTACCTTATTTTTAAATACTTGCGTTTTCTTCATCCATTTTGGTATTTAATGATACAAAATCAAAATAAAATTCACAAAACAATCAATTTTCTTGAGAACAATTTTTTGTTTGTTTACAAAACATAACAAAACAGCTGATTAAATATCAGCTGATGGTACAAGAAAATTCTTACTGAGTAAATTTTCCTTGTAAGAATTTGCAAATACTCAGTAACACAACTGTCAAATCTGCTCTCTCAATTCGCTCTCTTTTACTGGACTTTTGGGTAAACGAACAACATTTTGTAATAATTTGTACAAATTCGTACAAATTATTGAGTAAACGAACGAACCTATTATCATTTAATATTCGTTTGTAGTACATTTACATTGTCCCGATTTTTGTTAACATAGTGGTTTCAATTGTCAATTCCATTGCATATATGTCAAATAAATCCTCATAAAGTAGGTTAAATGATTAAAGGCTTATTTTCTTAAAGCGGATTTACATATACCATTTGCTCATGATTAAAGGACGAACCAGGGTTTATTTTCTTAATCAGGCTGGATTTACCATGATTTCGTATAAATTCATCATACAAATTTAAATCATTATGCGGCAGGGTTATTTTAAATCATGATCGAAATCATGATACTAATGAGATGCAACGCGGTTTTGTACGAAAAAAATACAACTTTCTCACAGTGTACCAAAATTTGCAACTGTTTTCACATGTTGTTTTTTTTTCTATATTTAACGGTTACTAAATGCAAAAATGAAAATCAAAGGAAAGCAAAAATTATTTATAGAATTTTTGTGTTTCAGGTGATTTTTTACATTCCAAGAGATTACATCATTGCAGAAACATTTTCATTGCTGTAGTTTTTCTTTTCATTTCAAACAAATATTTTTGGCACCACTTCATAATTTTTTACGTATGCTAACAAATAGCAGCTGATCGACATTTAGATCATGATTAAAGTTATGTGTAAACAATTTGGGCGTATTTCAGGATTTAAAATCGTATATGTAAATTTACTTTTATAGTACGTTTATATTGTACAGGATTTAGCACATTAAATTTTTACATCATTAATAGTACGTTTACATTTAACCGGATTTCGTTAACCCAGTGGGTTTCAATTGTCAATTCCTTTGCATATATGTTAAATAAATCCTCATGTATATGCTGTTTTGCGATAGTATAAAGGAAACATATTTATCGTAGTAAAATATTTTCCATCCTTTCAGCGTCTGGAATAAAAATATTTTGTTTTATTTAGGTAAAATAAACCGATTATGTTTTTATAATATGTTTGATATAAAGAATGATTTTTTTATAATTCGTAGACTATAAAAATTATATAATTATAAAAATATATATTAATTATTCGGGACGCATTTTGTTTAGTTGGATATATTTAATGATATTGTATGTTGGTAGCACTGTCAACCATACGTTTCCAAACACTTCCTTAAAGTCTTGACAAATAAACATTAATGGCTGCCAATCTCGAACGAAGCAGTGGGATTTTTTCCAATTTTTCATTTTCGCTCCAATTTGCAAACTTTAACAAATAAAGATTTAAATAAACGGAACAGTGTATAAAGTGCAAGTTTCTTAACGGAAACAAATACCGAATATAGGCATTATGTGGCCGCAAGCACTGCAAATGACCAGAGACGAATGTCGAGGCATTTTACGGAGACTTGGTAGGTTGTCGTTCGTGTGCTGTACACTGCATGAGAAAAAGTGGTACTGTAACAGAAATAAGTGAACGATAACTTGGGACGAAATGTGGTTATGGAATGAAAGATCATTGCCCTATCTCCTGTCCATTCAAAGGCGACTAATGTTGCGCATTTTTCATCTGTTTTAGAGCTGGAATCGTATTCTCAAGTAATAAGTGTGTTTCGCGCTCAAGGAGGTCTGAGTGAAGCCAAGGCTAAACTGTTAGAGGAATTGCGTGGTATATTTCACATATCAACTGAACGACACCGTGCAGAGGCCCGACGTGTTGCCAATGATGAACAATTGGCCACAATTGCGGAAGCGTAAGTCTAACAAATAAACAACGTTGTTGTGCTCTGTCCTCTACAAACGTTTTTTGGTTCTATTTTGACAGTATATCTGGACCAAATACATGGCAAGAATGGTCGCGTGAAGGTAGACGTCCTTATCCGTTGTTGCCACGTGTGGCTCCCCATACAGCCTTAGCTCTAATTGCCAATAATGTGGCGGAGGAAACAGCTAATGAAAATCAAAAGCTTCCCTACCCTGCTGAAACTGGTGAGGCCATTAAGGAAGAACAGCAACAAATTGAAAAGCAAAGACCAAGCGAAATTGTGGAGCGTAATAATCATGTAGTAACCAGTGATCCGGTGAGTACTTGGACATATATGTGTGCACTGCACCTGTCACATTGGTTACCCATTCGCCAATGTTATATAAGTGGATTTACTAATTGATTTGGATCGATCTTGAGATATTTATTCTCAAATTGTTTTCAATTGGATGCTGATACAAGTATTGAAGGCAGTGAAATATTTGTTAGGAAATGTTGGTGTACATTAGCGAAAGCAAATGTATTTTGCTTATGCGATAATCATTCACAATAGTCTAGTGTTTACCAATTTTGTTGACAGGGTTGTATTTGTGCACTTGGAAAAGTAGTTAACGGGTAAGTATAAGAGTTGCCAGATGATTAATCTAATGGAGTTTGGGTAATCGACAGAGGGAACTAATGATGACAGGAACCGTAACGGTTATAAGTAAATCAGTTATAAAATACAAGTTATTTTGTGCCCTAAATAAAATTAATTAAATTATCACGTATTTAAGCACAGTAAAAGAAAAAAATCTTCGACGTTGGTTTGCTAAAGTGATAAAATCGAATTAAACAAAACAGAAATTAATATGGGAGATTTCAATAATAATATGTTTGATCTGCAGCGAAGTTTAGTTGTAAGGGAAATTTGTAGCAGATTAAATTTATCTGTTGTCCACAACTCAATGCCCACACACGTCGATATTGCGCATACCTCTACTTCTTTGTTGGATTATTTTTTTGTGTCGTGTCTGAGTTTGGTAGCATGTTCAAATCAGTTTTTGTGCCCTGGTATTTCTGATCACTCGTTCATCTTTCTATCAATTAATGTTCCCAGTTTTTGTGTGCAGAGTTTTTATGAATATGCAGATTTCAGTTCTGTTGATCCTGTGGCGCTTACCAGCGCCTTTAATACATACAACTTTGGTGAGCTTTATTCTGTGGTAGATGTTGATGCCCAGCTTGATATATTGAACTGTGGTCTTCGGCACTTGTATAGTGTAGTTCCTGTCAAAAGGAGATTTTGTAAAATTAATAAAGACGACTGGTTTAAGTCTGCTGAAATTCGGTATCACTTGTCTCTTCGTGACATTTCTTATAGGTCCTATCTTCGTGACAAAAGTGTTGAAAATTGGAAGTTGTTTTGTCGCTGTCGTAACCGAGCCAAAAAAAAACTATAAGAAAACTAAAATTTATTGCTCATAGGGATATGTTTGCTAATAAATAAACAAAGGAAGTGTGGTCAATTTTAAATAAAAACAGTTTGTGTACTGATGACAGAGAAGTCGGGAATGTTGATGTTGAGGCTCTGAATTCAGCTTTTGTTTCGAATCAATCCGTAGATGTTTTTGATGTTTCTTGTATTCCTGTTGATGCTTTTGATGGTTTTTCCTTTCGTGCAATTGATTATGCTGAGATTGTTGATGCTTTCAATAAAATCAAGTCCACGGCAGTTGGTTATGATGGATTTCAGCTAAAATTTCTAAAACTTGTTTTCCCCCTTGTTGGTCAATTTTTGTTGCACGTTGTCAATTCAATGTTAACAATGTCTGTGTTTCCAGAGATGTGGAAAATTGCAAAAATAGTGTCAATTCAAAAAAAGAATGGTGATTCTAGTGAATATAGGCCTATATCTATAATGCCGATTCTTTCTAAAATGGTTGAGTATGTCATGAAAGATCAAATGCTAGTTTATATTGGTGAAAATTCTCTATTACATGAGAGCCAGTATGGGTTTAGGAGTAATCGCGGCACTGCATCTCTTCTCGTTGGATTGACTGACAATATAAGGAAGACTGTTGGTACGGGAGGTTGTTGTGTGTTGTTTTCAGTAGACTTAGAGAAAGCCTTTGACAAAATTAATCACGCTAATTTAATAAGAAAATTGCCTCGTTTGTTCAATTTTTCGTCCTCAGCTTGTAAGCTTATTTCGTCGTATTTGTTTGGAAGGAAGCAGTATGTTTGTTGTAGGAATGTTGTTTCTGGAATGCTCCCTGTGAGTAGTGGTGTACCCCAGGGGTCTGTACTTGGGGCTCTATTGTTTGTTATGTATGTTAATGATTTGCTAAGTTGTATTAGTAGTAGGAGCTGCATGTCATTTGCATTTGCTGATGACTTGCAGATTTTGTTTAAAGGAGAATATGTGTTTTTAGATGTTTTAACGTGGTTATCTGCAAACGGACTCTCAATTAATACACGTAAGAGTAAAGTTATGTTTTTTGGGAACTTGCAAGATAATTCAGTAAATGTTTCCATTTATAATAATTCTATAAATGTTGTAAGCTCTATGAAATGTCTTGGTTTGTTTCTTGATAGTAGTTTGGTGTTTGATGTGCATGTTAATTCTTTGGTGTCCAAGGTAAACTTTATTTTAAGAAAGTTGTACTCTTTGGATATGGCTCCGCCTAAGAGCATTAGAATTCAATTGGCCCATGCATTGATTATGCCAAATTTTTTGTATTGTATTGAGATTTTTGGGGGTTGTTGTGGATATGTTTTACGTAAAATTAAACTATTGTTCCATAGGGTTATGCGATATGTATATTGTGTTAAACGTCGTGATCACATTTCTCCTTACGTTAAAGAGTTCCTCGGTTGTACCTTTGAAAGTTTTGTGAGTTTAAGGTCAATGTTGTTCTATAAGGTATTTAAGTTGCGGACTCCTTCCTCTGTAGTTGATTTGTTTATGTTTTCTAGATCTGTTAGAAACATACAAATACTTGTTCCGCGTTTGTGTCCTTTATTGGAAAAAGCCTTTTTTGTACGAATTTCTAGAATTTTTAATACCTTACCGCCTTCTCTTAAAACATTTAACTCATCCTTAAAATGTTATCGAACTCCTTTATACGATTACTTCAACCTCAATTCATCTTAAATTCATAGGTTTTGCTTATTTGTTTGTGTTTTTATTGCATAACTGATTTCAACATTTAAATATTTAAATACAGGCGGAAAAAAATCATTTTTGGAATGTTTACATTGGAATAATTATTTGATTTATTTAACTCGTGAACTTCGGAAATATCCATATACGTGTATAAAGTGTAATAGACGTAGCAAACGTTATTTATTTACATAATTTAACAACGTGCAGTTATTTTCTAAATGATTTTACTTATCACCAAGGTATATG